TGAAATGGTGGGGATTGGGGGCTGGGCAATCACATCCTCCCAAGTGGTGTGGTTCGCAGACCTGGAACATGCAAGACATAAGAGCCGTGTGGCCTTGCCTTGTCAAGCCAGCACAGCGGTATATCGCATGCTTTGAAACACTGGCACAGTTAGCACTGCTGCAAGCAACCCACAGCCACATTGGTGGTGGGCACTACTCGTTTAGCATGCCGTCCGGCACGGACAATTCCGCCACGGAAGCAAGCCTTAACAAATTGTTCACGACCTCATGGCCGTTGCAACTTTTTGTGCAGTTAACAGCCTTCTGGGCTCACGCTCGCAACGTGCTGCTGCAGCCAACGCACGTTCCAGGAAGGTGCAATGATTGGGCAGAGAGGTCGGTTGGCCCGATTCAGCCATCGCCCTGAAAGTCGCGTGCGCTTCAGCCCTGCAAGCCTGGCGATGTCGGGCCGAGGCATTCAACTGTGTCCGATGCATGCGCCCTGGCGTCCGGAACATTTGGCAGCAGCTTCCATCGTCGCTGAGCCAGCCTAGCCTGCATCCGACTTGGCCTTCCGAGCCCTTTTCTGCCGTTGCCTTGTCAGCCAGAACAACTGGCAATGTCAGCCAGCCGCTTACACAAGCCAGAAAAAAGTGCAGTCACCGCATGCCGAGCTGTTCGCAACACAGCGTGCATGGTGACCCTAGCATCTGCCCTGCCAGGTACAACCCCACTCTGAAGGGCGGGTGATGAGGCCTTCGGCCCAGCTGGTTCGCTTTTACCGGGGTTGCCTGAAACACTGAAGGGGGGGTCAATGTGCCTCCTGCTCCAGGCGCACTAGTGCCCTGGAAGCAGTGCAACTTTCAGCAATCCCGGTGAAAAGAACTGCGGCCGCTTCGGACGAGCTTTGTTCTTTTGAGGTTTCATGTTTGGGTTCAAGCTAGGAGCAGTGCGACATGCCTTAACGCTTAGGGTTTCTTTTCCCTTGTGTTTAGGGCATGTGGTGAATCGAACTATGCGTTGGCCGTTTTGCTCCTAGCCTTGACCCAAACCTGCGGTTTCATTTCGAAACCCACCCACCCACCCTGCATTGCCCTATGCCAGGCTTTGCCAGGATAGACGGCAGTTTCTCTGCACTTTCGTGGGTCGCCTCCGGGCACCGTGGTCTCCGGACTAGGTCTCCGGACCAAAATCGGTCTCCGGACCTCGAGTCTCCGGACTGTCGGTCTCCGGACCTTGGGGCGTGGGCACGCGTGCCGCGCCCCCCCAAGCACTGCATTTACCCGCAAGGACACGCATTGTCTTGCCTTTTCACATTTCGGGGGGTCAATGTGCCTCCTGCTCCAGGTGCACTAGTGCCCTGGAAGCAGTGCAACTTTCAGCAATCCCGGTGAAAAGAACTGCGGCCGCTTCGGACGAGCTTTGTTCTTTTGAGGTTTCATGTTTGGGTTCAAGCTAGGAGCAGTGCGACATGCCTTAACGACAAGGTACGGCCTGGTCTTCACTTGAAAGGCTGCCGTGGCTGGCCTTGTCCCATGCAATACAGCCGGCGATTAAAAAGAATGCCGGGCATGGAATTTGGTTGTTTTTTCTCAAACAACTTTACAATTGTCGCGTTCACGTGGCCCCAAAACAACTTTTCAATTTTCGGTCAAAGTTTGGCGGTTGGACGCAGTCCACAGCCGACAGCACTGTTGCTGTTGCCGCTGGCGTGCCTTTGAAACGATCGTTTTCTTTTTGGCATCCGCTGTTGGACCTGGCTTGTTCCAAGGTGCTCTGTTATTGCCCGCGTTGATTTTGTTGCGTCTTTGTTTTGGTTCGGGTTTTCTTTCTTGGCTTCTTTTAATTGGTTTCTTGCGCTGAAATAGCGTTTGGGTGCACAAGAAAATGTTTTCTTCAAACGGGTTGTTGCCTTCAGTCGCTCCGTTGGCAAAGCGATAAACCACAATGCTGCGGTTGGACTGGGCTCCAGCTGCGTTACCAGCAGAATGTTGTGGAGAACCCGCAACATCCGTTTTGTTGGCTTGCGCAGCGATAGGACGTGTGTGCCGCGATGAGCTGGCAAAGCCACGCTGCATCTTTCGTCTTCTGGACAGGCGCGCGCCTACCGTATTTAAACTTGACTTTAGCAAGTTTTTGGCAGCTGACTGACGCGATATGCCTATTTGGTTTTGCGTGCCATGCGTCATTTCGGACTGCGGCCTTTGGCTGTCTTTGTCCCTTAATCTGGCTTAATAAACGAAGGGAACTTGTGTTGCACCCCTTCACGCTCACCAGATTGTTCACGCAGAGGCTTTGCAGATGAGACAGGCGCGCAAGCAAGACTGCCGTTGGCGGCATTTTTTGCGCGCCTAGTTTCGCAGGCCGTCAGCCAGGGTAACAAACTGTCTGAGAGAGAACGATAACTCTTAAAAACTCTTTGCGGAAAGCCTTGGTTTTTCTGTGCGGAGGAGACGCGTCTGACAGAAGCAAGGTGTGTTGATTCACACAAGGCTGAAGATGGTTGCAGCAGAGTTAAGGGTTGATTCTGATCAACGGAAATAAGACTGAGGTAAACCCAAAATCCTTGTTTCAATGTGGGACGTCCCGGATAAAAGCTGAAATTGCGTGAAAAGCTTAAAGAAGTTTCAAGTTTGGTCCCAAAGACTTTTGCGGGCAGCAGTCCGGGGCATCCGGGCATGAGTTTGCCAGGAGCCCACTATGTCAGTTGCAAAGGCCGCATTCTGGGCCTAGGGTCTTAAGCGTTTCCTTGGAAACAAGTTTTGGTGGCAAAGCGAAACTCGGAAGCTCAGCGTGTGCCTGACTGTGTCAGCAAACGAAACTGCGAAACAAAAAATCACTGAGTCCGTCAGCAGCATTTTTCGAAAAGAGTTTGAGGCCTTCCGCAGAGGGACTTTAAGGGCCATCGGTTGTAGAAAAAAATGAGAGTCGTCAGCCGTGACGCCTGTGCAGGGATATGTGTAGGGGTTGCGTTTCCAAGGTCCAATGTCAAGGTTTTGTCGTGCGCACACGTCCATGCCGGAGGCAATGTGTGCATAGATGCTTTCTATGCCAAGTAACAAAGAAAGAACGTCGGGAAACTTTTCCGGCCAGTTTCAACCCTTTAACACGGCTTTGCTTTGGTCCAAGGTCTTGGCGGTCTGGTGGCCCAAGTCTGGGCTGGTTGTAGGTTGTTGGATGATTGTTCGCAAACACGCGCGCGCGCGGTCTCCGACTGTCGCACGTCCGTCCGCTGCCTACCTGCGCGTGGCTTCCTCACAGACACGCGCGTCCGTGCGCATGTCCCTACCACGCGAAAAACATCTGGCCAAAGCAAAACGATTGGCTACAATGACGTACCCCGTTGCCAACCGCAATGGCGCTCTTCATGAAAAGCTTTCTTTCTCTGTCTCTTTCTTTTTTTTTTCCTCTTCTCTCTTTCTTTTTCTCTTGTCATTTTTCGTCTTCTTTCTATTTCTTTGTCTTTGTCTTTCTTGCGTTCTTTCTCTTTCTCTTTCTCTTTCTCTTTCTCTTTCTCTTTCTCTTTCTCTTTCTCTTTCTCTTTCTCTTTCTCTTTCTCTTTCTCTTTCTCTTTCTTTCTTTCTTTCTTTCTTTGTCTCTCTTTGTTATTTCTTTGTGTTTTTTGTTCTTTCTTTCTTTCTTTCTTTCTTTCTTTCTTTCTTTTTTTCTTTCTTTCTTGCGTTGTTGCTTCTTTCTTTGAATCTTTCTTTCTTCCTGTCTTTCTTCCTTCCTTTCTTTCTGTCTTTCTTCCTTCCTTCCTTCCTTCCTTTCTTTCTTCCTTTCTTTTTTCTTCTTTTTATTTTTTTTTTCTCTCTCTCTCTCTCTCTCTCTTCCTCTGGCCTTTTTTTCTCCTTGCCTTCTCTTTCTTTTTCTCTCTAGCTTTTTTTTTCATTCTTTCGTTCTTTCTTTCTTTCCTTCTTTCTTTGCTTGTTTCTTTCTTTGTTTCTTTCTTTCCTTTCTTTTTCCTTTTCTCTCTTTATGTTTTCTTTATTTCTTTCTATCTGTTTGTTCTATCGTTTTCTTTGTTTCTTTCTTGCGGTGTTGATTCTTTGAATTTTCTTTCTTTCTTTCTTTCTTTCTTTTTTTTTCTCGTTCCTTTCTTTTTTTGTTTCTTTCTTTGTTTCATTCTTTCCTTTCTTTTTCTTTGTCTCTTTCTGTTTTATTCTTGTTGGTTTCTTTCTTTTTTTCTATCTTTTTCTTTGTTTCTTTCTTGCGTTGTTGCTTCTTTCTTTGAATCTTTCTTTCTTCCCGTCTTTCTTCCTTTTATACTTTCTTTCTTTCTTTCTTTCTTTCTTTCTTTCTTTCTTTCTTTCTTTCTTTCTTTCTGTTTTCTTTCTTTCTTTCTTTCTTCTTTCTTTCTTTCTTTCTTTCTTTCTTTCTTTCTTTCTTTCTTTCTTTCTTTCTTCCTTTGTTTCTTTCTTTCTTTATTCCTTTCTTTCTTGCTTTCTTTCTTTCTTTCTCTCTTTCTTTCTTTCTTTCTTTCTTTCTTTCTTTCTTTCCTTCTTCCTGTCTTTCTTCCTTTTTTACTTTCTTTGTTGCTTTCTTTCTTTCTTTCTTTGTTTCTTTCATTCTTTTTTTGTTTCTTTCTTTCTTTCTTTCTTTCTTTCTTTCTTTCTTTCTTTCTTTCTTTCTTTCTTTCTTTCTTTCTTTCTCTCTCTATTTCTTTCTTTCATTTTTTTTTGTATTTTTTCCCTTTTGTTTTTAGCTGTTTCTCTCTCCTTTTGTCTTTCTGATTCTTGTTCGTCTCTCTCTCTCTCTCTTTTTTGCTGGCTCGGGCTGTGGCTCTTGCTGTTTCTCTTTCTCTTTCAGTTTCTGTTGCCTCTCTCTGTCTCGTTCCCCCTCTCTCTCGCTTTCTGACTCAGCGTCGATCGCCCAAAGCGGGTTCACGGATTGAAGGCTCCGAGAAGAATCCGAGCTCGTTCCGCGCCCGCCCCGGCCTCGCGACCGAGGTGGTTTGCGCACGCTTCTATTTCCCAATTTCTTTATGTCAAAGTATCGCACAACATATGAGCTTTCTGGCCCGAGATTTTTTTCACCCGATCGGAATGTGGCGATGGGCGAAGCAGTGGTGCTTTGGCAAAACGCCTTGTGCAGATTGAATGAGGACAGGCATTGGGAGTCGCCTCGGAGAGAGCTATCACATTTGGTTTGTTCCGGTCATATAGTGGCTCATGGATTCTCTGGTTTGCTCGCACAACCCATTCAAGGATCCACCCCCCTCACTTCACCCCCGCCGTCGGACCCCGTTTCCTGTTTCGACACATGCCAAAAAAGGGGCTTCAACCACCCTTTATTAATCCAGTTGTCCAGAAGTGGATGTCCCAATCCAAGATGAGTTCTCCAATCCTTTTGCCCTTGGCCCCCCTCCCCCCCCCCACCTGCCGCCTTGGAGGCCCGATGCGAGGCGCAGGTCAAATCCCACGGCGCCTGCATCGCCGCCTGCGGCGCCGCAGCCTGGCGCTGCGCTGCCGCGGTCTTCGCGGCGCTGCCGAAGCGAAGTCTGCGGCAGAACGTGGTGACCTACAACTCCACGGCCGCAGCCTGCGAAAAGGCGCGCGTTTCGTTTTCGCGTGCACGTGGGGCACATGGGCACCGGAGTGGGTGAGTTTTTTTTTCATTGTTACTTTTCTTCATTTTTTTTTTTTTTAAGATTTCATATTTAGCATTTTTTTTATTAATAATTTGGGGCGCGGGAGTTTTTCTGGACACGGGGTTGCGTGGATGTCAAGCTTTGAAAACACGAGTTTGGAGCGCGGGACTTTTGGTTGGACATGCGGTTGGGTTGATGTCAAGCTTAGCAGTATAGGCTATGGAAGAGTTTTGGTTTCGCCAGGATATTGTTTTATCAGATTCCCATAGATCGGAAGGATATAACAAGTCTTCCTAGGAGGTGGGCCTCTGTTTTCTTTCGGTATGTAGATTCATAGCCTCGAGTACTAAAAGGTGAAAGGGAAATCGTAAAGAAACACATTACCCGCAGCTTAACCCATTGCCGGTGGATTTGGCTCTCCAGCGGGTTGGGTTGAGTATTTTGAGGGAAGTAAAGTGACCTCGGTTTGACTTGTCCTGTATTTGACTTGGTAGTTCCTAGCCATCCCCTCTCTTTTTTGTTCTTCTTTTTTTTCTCTCTTTTTCTCTCTTTTTTTTCCGGTTTTTACTTGGCTCAGTGGTTGGGTTTGCATTTAACCCACAAGTTCAACTTTTAGCAGATCAGCCCAGGTGAATAAACCAACAGCTTCACAGAGTACCTAACTCCTTTCAGCTCACACTGAATTTATGATTTGCATTGGTTTGGGAAGTGGATCCCCCCCCTCCCCCCCCGTTTTCTTTGCAAACCACGTGGAAGACTGAACCAGCAGTCCCAAGCACCAGAACTCTAGGTACGTCTAAAGATGCAGAGCCCGACAAAGGCAGTTGTTTCCTTATGGTTCTTTTAGAACCATGTCAAGAAGGGTCCCCTATTATAATGCTATTTGAAGCAGTCCGGTGGATTCATAGTGTTTGCCCCCAAAAGTGAAAGGTTCCCTCGTCAATGCGAGACCCCCTCCTTGCGTCCTGAGTCAACAGCATCCTGGAAGCGTCGCCGTGGGGTGTATGAATTGTGGGTTCCCTTTGCACGATGGTGAAATTGCGGTCTTCCCTATGTGTTTCCAGTTCGGCCAAGATTTACTAGAATGGTCCATTCAGGGCTCTGGGCATACAGAACTCCAGGGATTCACATGTTTCCCCATAAACAGATGTTAGATTTATAGGATTCCTACAGGAACGACAACATCTAGGTTGCCCTTTGAACCGCCAAGCTCGGCCAAACGCTCCTTTGACGGTCGCCGGTTTGTTCAAGAGGTCCAACCTCCCCTTCTGGGGCCCGGGTCGCCCTTCACCCCCCTGACCTTTGTCCGCCATGGCTCGCTCTCCTTCTCTCGAGGCCTGGCGACGATCCGCAGAGGTCTTGGCGGCGCTGCGGCGTGCCGCGCTGCAGCAGACGGAGATCTCCCAAACCGCGGCCGTCCGCGCCTGCGAGGCTTGGGTTTGAAGAGGTTGGAGGAAGAGTTGGACGGCGGTGGGTGAGGATTTGGGGTTTGCTTTTAGAGGGAAACCGAGAGCTTGGTGAAACACGGGCAAGTTTGATTTTTTCCAGGGAAACCCAAGAGTTTGGTGAAACAGGGGGCAAGTTTCAGGACGTCTACGAGATTGACATGACCCGTTTTGGTTTAAATATTTTGAAAGAAGCGGTCTATGGCCCTGAATAGACAAGCAAACAACCAGGGATGTGGGGGAAGCAGGGATGTGGGAAGATACTTTTTCGGGTAATGCTTGGAGATGGTTTCCTTCACAGAGAGTCCTCGAACATCCTCGCTTCCCCGTATCCCCGCTAATTTGTTTTCCCAATTTCAATTGCAACCCAGAGAGAGTTTGGTGAAACAAGAGTGGTGTAAAGATGTTGAAACAAGTGGCCCATGGTGAGATTTTGAGTGGTTCTCCCTTTGGTTTCTCCCTTTCGTTTCCTTTAAACCAGGCTGAAATGGGTTCCAACTCAAACAACAAACACCAACTCAAGCCTGTCAGTTCCACCAGCCCAGGAGAAGGGCACACAGTGGAGAAGGGCCGTGGGGGTTTTACAAGGAAACTGCGGCCTGCGTGGCAACGTGAGCCTTTGTTGAACATGGGCAATGCTTTTTTTTTTGGGCACATCTTTTATTTTTTTCGACTCGTACCAAATGGCTGACAAAGGAACACATGCAAGCCCTACTTTTTTGCAGACTCAACATGGAACCAACACGGGGTCCCCTGAAGAGATTTCTCCAACACTGCCTGGTCTGTTCCATGTTGATCTGGAGGGAGTGGGTTGAGCATTGACCAAGCCGGAACCTTTTTGGGCGTGCATTTCAACTGACCCTTTGGTGGACATCAACATGAGAGCCTATGTTTAAGCCTCATTCTGGCAATCCCGCCCCCCTTTTTGAGGGAGTTCTAAGCATCAAGCTTTACAGCCGCCTGGACCCCAAATGGACTGCTTTCTGCCTTTCTATCGTTCTCTTTCGTGGGAAGGCAGGCTATTCCGGGGTCCATACAGAGTTCATTAAAAAAGGTCCATTATTATAAAGAGTCCATTAAAAAGGGTATGAGTCCGTAGAATACTCCAGGGTCCATTAAAGAGTCCAGTTCCAATCAGGATCACCTACAGCGCCGGCATCAGCGCCTGCGAAAAGTCGGGGTGCTGGAGCTGTGCGATGGAACTGCTCACCCAACTGCGGCGCAAGGAGATCGAGCTGCATGGTATTACCTTGAACTCGGCGCTTAGCGCCTCGACATACTTTTACAGTCGGCAAACTGGGGGCATGCAGAGGACGAAGTGAAAGACCCTGCAAGGGTTCTATCCTGTTGACTCTTGTTGACTCTCATCGACATTTGTTGACCTGCGTTGGCTTTTGTTGGCTTCTGATATACTTTCTGTCATGCTCCATTAATATGCTACGGGTGCCATTTTGTTTGTAGGACTTCTGGTGCAATGTTGCAGCTTTCACTGAGGGGATTTGTGTCTTGGCATGGAAGCCACACTCTCATTTAGAGTATGATAAATGAATGTGGACGCTCCAATACTAGCTGCAAACCCACTTTCTGGTGCTCGCTATGGAATGACCTGCCGGGTGTTAGGAATAGACCCAGAAGTCTCCTGAAATGAAACCACAAGGGATGGTTTATTTCGGGTTCATTCCAATTCTCATGTTCTGCATCTCTCGCACCAGCAAACCGCAAACCTGTCCGTCGTGTGAGCTGACCGTCGCTCCCCAAGTCCGCCCGTCGGGCTCCATGAGGTGCTTGTGGTGGGGCGGCCGCCTGGCGCAGCGGTCTGGGGCTGTACTCAGGTTGGGGCTCAACACGTGGGTACGCCGGATGGGGCACTCTCTTTTCGGGCGGGGGCTGGGTTGGGTTTCCCACGTGCTTTGGTTTTTTTGGGGGCACTCGGGCAAGGGAAAGCCTGGAGAAAGACACCAGCGCGTCTCTGATTTTGAGGGACGCCCAACCGTGGGGATCAAAACGTGTTGATTGGGATGTTGTTGTACTCTTTGGGGTAGCTGGAAGCGGGTGTTCTCCAATAGGCCAGCCCCCAAGGGCAAGGATCCCGTTTATACAACAACCAAAAGGGGGAGGTGCTTCGGATGCAGACTAAAAACGTGTCCAACATGGCCCAGTGTGAATCTTTTGAGACGTTTCTTTAGAAGCAAGGTGTGGTTTCTTTACCAATCAAATCTTCCAGCCCACAGAAGTTGATTGCTTTTTTTTGTTTGTTTCTTGCCCACAGAAGTTGATTCCGCTTTCCTCTTCGAACGCAGCCCTGAGACGACGACCTGGACGTCGACGTGGTGCGCTGCAACGCGGCCTGCAGCGCCTGCGGCAACGCGAGGCGCTGGCGTCAGGCGGGGGGAAACCCCCCAGCCCATTCGGATGTGTCGTTGTTTGAGGTTTCGATTTTGGGGAACAGGGGAAACCAAAAGGATGACCGACATCAAAAATTTGGGTCTTCCTATGTTGACACATACTCAAGCGATGTTGTTGGTGCCTTTGATGGACATCATGTAAGTTGCAAGATGTTCGAAAGATGCCACCAGATGCACCAGACTATGATATTCCTTCCAAAGGGTACAGGACACCCAAGTAACGAGCACCTCCCAAGTGTTTCAAGTGGGATGTCTTCTTCCTTGTTTCCTTGCGGCTTCCTTTTGCTTTTTGTTTCTTTTCGTTTCCTTTGAGTGTCCTTTTGGTTTCCTTTGGCTGTCATGTGCATTTGGTTTCTTTTGTGAGGCCCCCGCTTTTTCTTGTAAAGGGCCACCACAAGGAGCGCCGGCTTGGCCACTGGGTTTTGGGGGGGTCCAACCTAAAACCCGCCGCGCCGCCAAGTTTTTTTGGTGACTTTACCCTTCTTTCTGGCAAAGGGCCACCACAAGGCTTCCCCAGAATTAGCTCCCCTTTTTGCTTGTTTCTGCTTTTTTTGCTCGGGGTTCTCTTTGTATTCCCCCAACCAGGCCAACAAAAAGGTCTATTTTTTTTTTGCCGGGGTCCGATTCTTTTTTCCAGCCAAGCAGGAACGCCTTTTTTTTGCCCATTTCGGGGGGGGGGGAAGAGGAGTTTGCCCTTGCGACTTGGCCGAACGTTCGTTCCGAGATTGTGGGTCGAAATTATAAAGGCAAGTCGTACCCCAGTGAACGGGACCGATTCAATCCAAGCACTCAAATAGGAAACCTACAAATGGGTGGTGAATTCACCCAGCAGCCAAAATGGGATGTCCCTTCCCGGTTCTTTCCAGGCATCCGGATCTTTCCACAAAACCACCCACCACCCCGGAAGAAACAGCGATCGGCTCTTGAAAAAAACCAGGATGGTTGACAAGAATGGACAAGGAATCAAGGAATCAACCCCTAGAAAGAGGAGAAAGTGTCGTCTTCCAAACCCTCCTGTCAGCTTGTGTGGTTTGAGGGGTAGAGCCTACCGCACAAACCAAACCAAATCAACCCCTGGAACCATACCTTTGTTGCCCAGTGCCCTTTTTTCAGCTTCCTTTGGGAAGGGTTCCCCTTTAAACTCCACCAACGAAAAAAAAAAAAAAAGGGTTCAGCTGGAGCTGGATTGGAGGCTCTGCAGCTGCTCCTGCTCTGCACCTCGGGGCGGTGGAGCCCCACGGCGCTTCGGCTTTGGTGATGCGCTAAAGCGCTAAAGCGCTCAAGCGCTGTCCGTGGGCTCGTTTTTTTTCTTCTCTTTTTTCTTCTCCTGTTCTGTTTTTCTCGGTTTTCTCAACCCCAGAAGAAGGAGCAAGGAAAGAGGGGTTTTGTCCCCGTGCCTTTTTGTTGTTGTTTTTGTTTAAGAAAGTCAACCCATGGGCTCGTGGGAGGGGGCTTTTTCGTTTTTCTAATCCTTTGTTCTTCGTCTTGGTTTTGTAGGTTTTGCTTAACCCCAAAGGAAGGAGCAAGGAAGGCCCTTCTTGTTTTTTGAGGAGAGAGGGCCTCGGGATTGTTTTCCCCGTGCCTTTTTTGGTTTCAGAAAGTCAAGCCCAAAAGAAGGAACAAAGAAGGCCCCGAACAAGATCCCTCAGGGTACGCGCTGCAAAAGACCAAGGAACGGGATGTCCACAGTGAGCTAAGCCTTAGGAAGGGGCAGTCTTCTGTGGAGAGACTCCTTTTCTCACTCTTTTGATCTGATCATCAGACTCCTTGTACCGTATATCGTTAAGGCCTAGCTGCAAACAAAGGCGATCTTTGACTCTGAAGCAGAGTCTGTTGGGTTTTTCTACTGAGGCGGACCTGAATTTTGTGCAGGAACTTCTCCCTTCTCCGTGTGGGCCTTTGGCTTCCTCCCTTCTTGCTGGTGCGAGAGATGCAGGGAATGACAAATGGAATGACCCCGAGATGAACCATCCGTGCCTGTTGGTTTCCTTTTTTTCGGGAATCCCCAAGACCGGTTCATTTCCAACACCCTGACGTCGGGCATTCCCTACATATCACACCTGCAAGTTTTCCATGTCCCAGGTTGCCTTGTCCAGCCCCTATGGTTTCCATTCTCTACAAGTTCCTTGCAGGGCCCCCCTGGGTTTATTCCCTCATCCCCTACCGATTTTTGCACCGATCGCAAGTTTTTGTGAGAACAAGCGATCGCAAGTGCCCTTTTTTCAGGAACTTTTTTCAGGAACCTTTTTTCAGGAACCTTTTTTCAGGAACCTTATTGGTTTTAACCTTTTTTCAGGAATCCCCAAGGGTTCATTTTCCATTTCTCGTTCCCCAGCTCTCGCGGCGATCGCAAGCTTCGGATGCGAGGTGGTGACCTGCAACTCGGCCATCAGCTCCTGTGAGAAGGTCGGGCGCTGGCGAGAGGCGCTGGCGATCTTCGAGACCATGCACCCAGAGGCGAGCGACCGCAGATGTTGGGATTCGGCGTTGGGGCTTGGGAGACGAAAATAAACCCTAGAACTTTGGTTTCCGCCAGATTGGCATGAACTTTTTGGCTGGAAAGGGGCCCTTTTTCCCGACATCAGCGTGTTGCATGCCCTTTCGCAATTTTCTTTGAGGCTGTTATGTTTCGCAACGTCTTGTACACAACCCTTTCTCCGGGCTTAAGAGTTGATCTCCCGTACAGGTGTATGCTGGTCAACCCTCGCCGGAAATAAAACAACAAACAAAGACATCCCGGCAAGCGACCCCAAACAGTGGTCAAGCAATATTAGAAGACACTGTGAAACAGATAACATGGAAGTAACCGCACCAGACGCTCACTTGTTTCTGTGCAGAGTGTCCTGAAATGACCACAAAGCGTCTTTACAGAAGGTCCTGTGCACGCTCTTCAAACAGAATCCTTCTACTGATATAGAAGATCTCCTGTTGAAAGGGGTTTCGCGCAAGATATTCCTAGAAACTCTACTAGCTTCTCTGTCGAAAGTCTTGGACGACACTTCTGTTGAAGGATCTTTGCAGGATCTCTGCGCAAGATCTCGGGATAGGATCTCTTGGCGAGATCTGTGTGCAGGATCCATGAGAGGATCCTCTTTGTACAGGCTCTGTCCAAGACTGGTAGAGAGCATCCTCTGCAAGCCCTTTTGCAGGGAACTGACTGTTGGTCCTGTGCTTGCGAAGTTCAATGTGCAAAAAGCCGCAGAGCTCCGCCCACAGCGCGAGCGACGAGTCCGTAGAGGGTGCACTGGTCACAAATCCACCGTGGTCGCTCGGTGAAACACCGTTTCCCGCACCCCGCGCTGTCGAAATCAGCATTGAGGACTCCAAAGGGAACTTTTGCGCGAGCCTGTGAGGTCGAACTGAGCAACCACCCCGCGTGGCACCACGATCTAGACGCCATGCCTTACCGTTAGAACCCGTTTGTTCACAGTGCTTGGGGAACAAGCAACATAAGTTCTCAAGTCGTTGCAAGTGATTCTTCTCCGGTTCTGAAAATTGGTGACCCATAGGCGGTTGGTTCCTGTGAGCTTCCGAGAGGGGCCCACACATGCAGAAGCAGTTGGGGAATCCAAATATTGCGGAACCCCAAAGTCGTCGAACCTGAAGAAACGGCGGAACCCCATAACCCCACGCTCCCATTTGGGACGATCCTGGAAAATTGCAGGCGAGCCGGGTGACCTGTAACTCTCTCATCAGCGCTTGCGCTTCAGCGGGGCGCTGGCAGAGAGCCTTGGCCGACTCAGATGGCAAGGAGTTGACGTTGCTTTGCGTCCGAAACCGATGCAGTGCCTCAAACTTACCCCCAAAGTAGGCAATATCTTTTCGGCTTCCTGAAAGAAAGAACAACAACCCCAAACACGGGTGCCTAAAGAACAGACGCGCATAAGACAATTCAGCAATCAAGGGCGCAAGTCTCAACCAGCCGGGCGAGTCCGACAATACCGACCCCAAAAAATAAACATAGACCGGTTTTCTTTCGAAAACCATCCAAATCTTCCCCAGAATTAGCTCCCCTTTTTGTTTTTTTGCTTTTTTGGGGTTCCTTTTGTTTTCCACTCACCAGGCATTTTTTTTTTTGGCTGGGGTCCTAATTCCAGCCTAGAAATGAGTTGCCCGAATTGAAGGACACATAGTTCTCAAACTTCTGGACTGACTGGTGTCTGGTTTCATGTTGTCCCCTGAAAAAACCATCCGAGAAAGGCCTATTTTGAGACGTACCCGTATAGCTTTGATGAAACAAGTGTCAACATGAGACTTCCTGCTGTCCAAAGTATCTAGCTCCACAACCTAGAGATAACCCCAAAGAGCCCATTCTGAAGGTTCTTGTTTTAAACTTCAGTGTGCGAGAACAACCCCTCCCCCCGTCTTGAGGGTTGATTCAGCGGGAAGCATGGTTGTGGAGTTTTAGGCCCATTGCTGTGATACCACGGGGATATCTGTAAAGAGGCAAAGTGGAGCTTTGGTTCTTGTTTGTTGCATACATATGCTTGGACGTGAAGCCCCCGGTTCCTTACCTTTTTTGTGCCCCAACAATTTGCCCAACCAAAGCTAAATCGGTATTGGCAAACCTGCAACGTTGGAGAAACATGTGTGTGTGTGTGTGTGTGTGTGTGTGTGGGTCTTTGTTTTTGGGAACCCTCTTTGGGTTGGTTCCAAAGGGTTAAAGGGACGCCGGGTACCACCGGTAATGCTCACGTGCTCTGGAGACCACTTTAAAGGGGTAAATGTGTGTGTGTGTGTGTGTGTTTTCTTGGGAACCCTCTTTTGGTTGGTTTTAAGGGAAGCCCTTAAAGGAAAACCGTCGCGCCGCTTGGGTTCCAAATCCTAAAAGCCAACGAGCCACCCACATGACTTCCTCCAACCTCTGCCTGTCGCATAATCGCCTGAGGGCCTGGCTCTTTTTGTTAGGGATCGGACCCCCCAAAATAAATAAGTAAATAAATACATGATACATTTTTTTTTTTTTTAAATAAAAATAAAAAAAAGTAAGACTACTTGTTTTTCTTCTTTTTTTCTTCCCCGGGATTTCAGCGCGGTTTCCTTTTGGCACAAACTACAAACAAGGAGGTACCAACTCCCAAAAAAAACAGGCCCAAATGGATCTGTTTCCGATTCTAACCAGATCAACTTGCATGGCCCCAAACACGCAAATACAGAACCATGGTCGCTTTCATAGAAAAGTGTTTGTTTCCATTGCTCTTGGATCGTTTGGATGTTCGTTCTGGTCCTTCGCGCTTGAGGTGCGTTGGCGCTCCTTGTCCTCACTGCCCGCCGTTTTCGCGCTGATTCGGTGGGCTTCAACGCGTTGGCGCGGGCCTGCGAGCGCGGGGGCGTGTGGCAGGTGGCGCTGGCGGTGCTGGAGGCGGCGAAGGAGAGACGTATGGAGGAGTGGCTGGATGGTGGTGGCGGCGGGTGGAGGGGGGGTGGGGTGGAGGGATGGAGGTGGTGGAGGTGGTGGGGTGGAGGTGGTGGGTGGCGGGATGGAGGTGGCGGGATGGAGGTGGCAGGGGTGGAGGGATCGAGGTTGTGGGGTGGAGGGGTGGTGGAGGTGGAAGTGGAGGCAGGGGAGTTGTTGGGGGGTTGGTTGGGGCATCATTCGTGGGACCCAAGGGAAAATACGTGTTTTTGGGAGAGAAAAAGGCGTATACTGGGGGTCTCCTCGAAAAGTTATTGTTTTTGAGGTATGCGACATTAAAACAATGCGACATAAAAGGGGAAACAACAAAAACAAAAAACTGCACTCTGAAGATCTCGTCTGTTTTTTGCAGGTGTGAGCCAACGCCTTGACTGAGCTTTGTCGGACTGTTGGACTCGAACTTGACCGGAACCACGAAGCTCCCCGAGTTTCTGAACTTTCACCAGGATATGGGCCGCAGGTTTTGGTCCATGTTTCCACTTGCCAGTTTTTTCTTCTTTTTTTTTGGGGGGGGGGTTGCCCTGTTTTTTAATCCACAAATCCGTTTTGTTTTTGGGCATCTCCAATTGGAAGAGAGAGCAGCTGGTTTTGGGGTCCGAGCCCGGGCAAACCTTGAGGGACCCTATGGATCTAGGCCCATGAGACTTGGGCCGTGGGCGCTCTTCGTCTTTTTTTTTGGGGGATTCGTTTCTGGAATCGGGATTTTGGCCCATGGCCATATGGGGTTGTACTGAGTTTTGATGCTTTTCGAGTCTTGTTATGTTGCCTTTGCAGGATATTTGGGGCTCTGAAGGGGGTTTCATGTTTTTCGAGTCTTTTGTTGTTGCCTCGGGGGGTTGGTTTCTGGTGCTCAACCTTCATGGAATCCTGTGCTTGTACTTTGAGTCTTGGGTTTGGTTCCAAGCTCCAAGCCGGCGCCACCACACATCGACTGGATGATCGACTCGCGAGGGACGAGTTTCCCGCGAGTCTCGCTCGCTCGCGGGGGCCAAGCGAAAGAGGACGTGATCACCTACAACAGTTCCATCAGCGCCTGTGTCAGCGCGGCCCAGTGGCAGCACGCGCTGGGCCTCCTCCAAGAGGCAAAGACCTGCCGACTGGCAGCTGGGAAGGCAGAACATTTTTTTGTTTTACATGTAGATATATATATATATACATATATATATATATATTTACATATATATCTACATATATATATATACATGTGTATATTTATCTATTTACGAAGAACAACACGCTGGGAATCCTTGGGCGGAGGTGGGAGGGGTCGTGAACCCCCTCAATGTTCTTGTGTTTTTGTTTGGTACAACCAGATATTTGGGTTCCTTGTAAAGGAACGAAGACAATGACCCACAGACGTAGTTTTGAGCATGCCACATGGGTGTGCCTTAGACTATTTACACAGCGCAACTGTGGCACTTCCATGTTGGTCCCGAAGATGATTGGTCTACTTTTGCTTTTCCACTCTAGCGCGTTTCCAATGCGTCCCGTTGCTTTCTCCACTGTTCGCCTATTGATTCTGTGCCTGGGCTCTAGCTTGTGTACCCCAGCAAAGTTCCCCGGACAAGGGGTTTGTGCAGGGAGACGCAGGAGAAGCACCTTGAGCCATTTGCGTTTGAAGCTCCCCATTGTCATTTTTGGCCAACAAGGCTGATGCTTGCCATTTCCACCATATATGGATCCGACTGGCTAGCGGGTGAAATTGGCTTCCCATGTTTGATGGCGATTTGCGGGTCCGCTGGTTGGCTGCGCGAAGTCTGTAAATCGTTTTCCAGCTCCATACCGGCTCGAAAGTTTTGCTTTACTGTATGAATCCCCCCCCCCTCAAGGACTACCAAAGTCTATCCCCCCCCCCCCGCCGCCACACATGCACCCTAGGTCCCCCAGTAGTGCCATTTGACCCTTTTTTTGGGGAGGCTTCTCCTACCAAAATAGACCACAGAAAAAATCAGGCACCCTTATTCTAACCTCTCAAATCTGGAGGACCTAGCACCCGTTTCTTCTTTGCTCCAAGGCGGACGTCATCACGTATGGTGCGCCCATGCCGGTAGTGCCTTGGCCTTCCGCGCTGTGGCTGCTGGAGGAGATCTACTTTCAGCTGCTGGAAGTGGTGGCCCGGCAAAACGTCGGATCCCATTTCGATTGAATTCTTTCTTTGTTTTTTGAAAGCCCTCCTGAAAATCCTCGTTTTGGACGTGCGAGTAGATTCCTAGCCCTTTTGAGTTTTACCGAAGCGCTGAGAGATGTTTGGTCCAGGTTTGTTGAAGGACTGGGAGCAAGCCAGTGTTTTCAAGCTTGCGATGCTTCCATGGTTGGCCGAAAGATATACATGGTATTTGGAAGGATTTTTCTCTATTGCGGCATCCCAGTATTCTTAGAAGTTTTGCATATCATTAAGCACATCCTGGTACTTTTTCAACATTTTTTGCGTGAATCGTACTGTGCAAAACTAAGCACTGAGCATCGTCATGACCATGCTGCTTGTTTCTTTGAATTTCGCTCCGCACCCGAGGTGTTCGCAAAGAGGACTTCACCCATTTTCGGGCTTCCCATATTTGGAGAAGCCGTAAAGTGAGAAATGGTGCATTTGCCAGGCACAGTGCTTATGGGAAAAGAGAGCCAAGCAAGTTTCTGTTCTCATAAAGACTTGAACTTCGTGGCTGCCCTTCTCCACAGGCCCACATTCTTGGTGGATATGATTTCGGGGTCCATGCGGTCTTTGGTTTGTGTTTTTCCCATCCTGAAAGCGGAGGATTTTTCATATCCCTCCGGTTTTTTGTTCCCAGCCAGGGGTTTGAACCCCTGGTTCCGGTATGGGAAAAGTCCCTAAACCCTAAACCCTAAACTCCCCAAACCACACCAATCCAAAATCCCAGGGCGAAGCTGCGGGCGGGCATTTTCTCGTGTTCCCGAGTGGGGCCGTGGCCCGCCTTAGGACGCCGTGGCGCAGCTGGGCGCGGTGGCCGCGGCAAGTTCGTGGCCCCGCGCGCTATGCCTGGGGCTGGGGCTGAGGCGGCCGCAAGAGCCCAGCGTGGCGACCTGGACGCTCGGCTCGGCTTCGGCGATTTTTTGTTCGTTTGGGGAGGTCCGAGGTCGACCAAATCCGTCGACCCAGAGAACTGGGGGGGAATCAAGGGGGTTTTGTGGCTTCAGCTTTTTTTTTGGGGAGGTCCGATGTTGAACAAATCCGTCCACTCGAGAACCTCGGAAAATACGGGGGGTTGAAGGATGGGCTAGGATTGGGGCAAGTCATTCATCTCTTAGCTGCAAGCCTTCCACAGATAGGTGTTGTGTGAGTTTTTTTTTATTATTATTACTCTCCTGCTGGTGCGATCAGGACATTCTCGGGGAAACCCGAAGTGACATCCAACTGGTGGTTTCCTAAATGATCCCAAGTCAAAGTCCATCTGAATGGAGCCAGCCAAGTTCGAGGGGTGAGCGTTGCTTGCTTCCTTTTCGGGCATCTACAGTACGGTTTCCCCAAACTCGACTGAGAGTTGCACGTCAAGTGGATGAACCTGCTGGAGCTGGTTGGCCTCCGAAATGGGACACCCCTTCTAGAAATCAACCAGGGGCTTATCAATTTCGGGTTCCCACTCATCCAAAAGGGTGGTTGGAGTAATGATAACCTCCAAGCAACCAAGACAGCCTTTTGGGGGTTACTCTGGATTATTGGATACCTACCTAGATGGACGGGTGGGCTAGCAAGGTTACGTAGGCTTGCATGGGGGTGAATTGACTGCCAATATCAATATCACCAGTTGCACTTGTGACTCTGACTGATGGTTGCTTGCTAGAGTCGCTAGTGTGAGAGTTGTTCGCCCGCTGTGACGAAGAGCTCCGGGAAAAAAAGACCCACTACCTGGTTGGCTCTGTTTGGGTTTCCTTGAAGCCATCACCAAGTTGAGGGCGAGGGATTCGAATGAAGCATGGGGCGTGTTGCCCAAGGGCTACTGTAGCTGTTGTTTGTTTGTTTGTTTGTTTGTTTGTTTGTTTGTTTGTTTGGTGTGTGTGTGTGTGCGCGTGAGTGCGTGCGTGCGGGTGTGGGTGTGGGTGCGGGTGTGTGTGTGTGTGTGTGTGTGTGTGTGTGTGTGTGTGTGTGTGTCCAACCCTGTCACTAAGGGCCTCTCGTGTTTTTTGCCGCAGCGGTCTGGAATGGCTGCACCAGGCTGCTTAATGCGCCAGGCGCATTTACCATTTGAACTAGCGCTTTTCACGCGCCAGACCAATGCCCAATCTGGGGCAAACGGGTAGATTAGCTAGCCTGCGCAATTTTTCCAATCAGACGAAGCATGACACGCAGGGGGCCAGAGCCCGGCTCAGGGGACTCTGGCCAACGAAGACGCCCCTGAGCCGGGGTGAAAACGTACCTGCTTGTCACGGACAGGCATGGGCGCAGTTGACGCAGCTTGCTGTCCCATTTGAACTTTTTGGCGCTGTTTGCGTTTAGAGCCCCTTTGCTACAAACCTTGCTCCGATTAATTCAGTTTCATTACTCCGATGTCTCACCATTTTCCCGTTTAGCCATTGCGGCTTATGATCCTGTACCCTCGACTGTAACTAGATCAACAAGCCACGAGCACACGCATAGGAGAGCCGAAGCATAAATCAAAGAGGGGGGATTACCACAAGTGTGACTCCAGGAGGTTAGTTCGTTCATCGGGCCTCCTGCGCCAGGGTTGCCTGGTGATATCTTTGAGCCCTGTACGGCTCGCGAGTGTTGATGAAGCCCCCGATCGGGCTACAGCAGATTGGACTCTTGGCCTGATCGCCACGACAAGACATGGGTCTGCCATCGCCCGCGTAGCTGATGAAAATTGAGGGCTGATCCCCTCGCAAAGCCTACGGCCGCACAGCCCCACCTTTGACTTATCACGTCCCAGAGACGTAAGTATGAATTGCGGTGTCGCCCGCCTGATGACTAACATCCCCCCTCGTGACTCCATTTGACATTGGTTTTTTCTGACGACTGTCTCAATCTGAATTTGAAGTTGCCTGTGACTCAGCTTTTCCAGCGGCTCAAGTGCTTCCCACCTTCGGACTTGGTGCTATGTCCAATTGGTGGAACAACCCTAACTGGAGCGCGGCAGATTGGGGTTCCAATGCGAGACCCAACTCCCACACATGGAAATCTCAAGAGTGGAAGGAACGTGATTGGCAACAGTCATGCTGGCCCAATCAGAGCCAGCCCCGACCGAGTTTTTCCGAACCCAGCCGCCCGCTAGTTCCGGTTTCCCCGGCAGTGAAACTGCCCTCGACTTTTGTCAGCAATGACGAATTTCTCGATACGACAGCAATCGGCGGATTTCAGTATCCGCGCACCATTCAACCCACAGAGTGGTCGCGCCGTACCGGCCTCGCGGGACGCCCCATCGAAGATGTCAAAGCGTATGAGTTGTGTCACCGCGGGGTAGGTGAGTTCTCCCTTCGCATGTTGGCCAACGGACGTTTCCAAGGTCTTGTGTGGACCCGCAATTTGATGGAAACGGTGTTTGTCACAGCCCTGCTGCGGAAAATTCGGGAGGGCCACGTCAATATAGACGATGCAGCCCGCGCTTGCTTCGGAGCAAATCCACCCGACAAACACCGGGATTCTGCAGCGTTTATGGCACCCTTGACCGAAGAGCTGTTCCAAGTTTTGAAGCAGAAGGCCCCGCCCGTTTCCCCCGAAGCCGAAGACGAGCTTCACAGGGCCAAAGCCAAATTGGCGGCAGCAGGCCTCAGCCTCACTCCCACTAAGAGGCAACCCGAAGGGAACCCCGATGTATCCTCCTCCAGTGCTCGCTCTGCGAAGCGAGCGAAAACGGATGTTGATCCCACTAATGCTGTTCCTCCGGCGCATGAAAATCCGGATGTAGCCAAGCTACTGCAGGACCCTCCCGTTCGGCAAATCTTGACTCAGCCCAAAGGCGGAGGGGATGAAGACGTCGTTGCCTGGCTTGACGCCTACAAGCCGATGTTTAAAGGCAACTGGCGCCAATTCAAAAAGCATCTCCAGACAGTGCAAGACCTTTTGAAGAAGCACTGCAGCCGCGCCGAACTCGTAGAAGCAGCTATCAAGTTTGGACTGGACCAGAAAATGGCTTCCAAGCTCAACATTCGGAATCTTTCAGCAGTCATCCACGCCGCTCAATATGTGGCAGCCTGACTAGCTGTGTTGACGGAGAAGTTACCCCTCAATCGCCGGTATACCGTTTGTCAAGACACCTTGGAGCTAGGTGCAGCCTGCACGTTTTTTAAACACCACTGTGCAGCCGTCATCAAGGCACCCATTGTTTGGGCTCAAGGACTACTTCATTTATGCCTTATTTTTTATCACCAGTCCCAGAACAGCCGCGTCGGCAGTTCGTCTTTTGGCCACACCATGCAACTCCGTTTTCAGTCGTTGGGAGTCAACCCCATGACTTACACGTGGCCGTGGTTTCAATCCCCCAACGCAGTGTACGTCAAGCTCGAGGTTGATTGGCGCCTTTTTAAGAACAATGAAATATACCGGCAGCCATCCCCGAAGCTTTACATCGGATCTACTTCCATTTCTGCGTCCTTGCGCGAAAGCAATCGTATGTCCGTGTTTAACAAACTGAATCGAAATGAAGAAGCACAGGCAGAACTTGCCATCCGATATTGGCAATCACAAGGCAATTTTGAGCGCTTTTCCATCATAGTGCTTGCCACGTTTCACTCTTATCGAGCCGCTTGGATCTCCGAGCATTGTTTCATTGATGCTTGGCAACCCACTTTAAATTACCCATTCATTCTGACACGTTTGAAACGCACTGCGCTAGGGTTCCGACCCACAAAGAAAAGGAGACGCCTCACTGAATTTTCAACACATGGTCTCCGGTTATGGCGCAAACTTAGGAAGCGACTTTTTTATTCCAGCCAACCCGCTGCCTTCTCAATACGGAGAAAGCAAGCGTGGGAAAGCTTGTTTGATGTAGCTAGCCACACACTTGCTAGCTTCCGTGCCTGTACAGTACTTCGGTCCTCTCGGTATGTCAATGATGAAGTGTACGCAGTCATCAGGCTTAGCCTGACTCTGGAAGAGCCTTTGCGCTCTCGCACCCGGCAACTGCTGAAACAAGTTGCCAATTATAGGCAGATGACCTGGCCTTCCAATGCTGGAACCCTTTCTCTTCAGCCCATGGCTCACCGATCCTTTTCTCGAGAAATTCGGGAGTGGCTGAAAAGTCAGATCCGCCGTTACAGACACATTTTGGTGCCTTTTCACTTGCCCAGTACTCAAATTCGAGAAGCGCCCCACCGTTCCCTTCTCAAATGTTTGCATAACACGTCAGCGTGGGATGAATGGCTCTGCTGGCATTCCCTTGCTGATCTACCATGCTGCTGTGATGGATCTATTTTCGCTGACGCGACCTGTATGATCGACGGACACATTGCCTGTGGTCTTGAACAACTAGCCCTCCATCATCCTTGGATGGAATGGATCGGCAACTGTAGCGCCACCTCCACGGTATTCCCAGGCAAAACACACTTTTTTCGTCGCAACCTGCTCGTTTTTTCCAAGTGGCGGAAGAAACAATCCTTGCCACCGAGCGTTGAGACGGAATTTGAACAGCTACTTCTTCAACAGTGGAAGCTTCACTACGAATCTCTCATTTTTGAGCCCCGACTGACTTGGCAAGACGTCCAAAAGACGCGCAATTTGCTTGACTTTCGGGTGGTGATTCACAATGAAGACCACCACAATTCACATTTGATGATTTACTGCCCGCGATTCTATTATGAGTCAGTATTCCGCACATGGGACGACCCCGATGTTTTCCAACCACTGGAAGGATCCCCCGAGGAGTGGCAGCGCTGGGTCACGTATCAAGTCCCATCCTCCCTCGCCACGCGGTACCACTGGGGCTTCACGTGGGGAGCTCAGCTCCCCCGTGGGTTTGTTTTCTTGAAGCGGAAGAAACGCTTCAAGAAGGGCCGCACGATAATATCCTACAGCAACTCTTTAATGAAGAAGCTCCTCAAAGCGGCATCTCAGGTCATTTCTTTGCTTCTTCAAACCGTTTGGGTTGACGGAC